AATATTTTTTTTTTTTTTTTTAAAAAAAAGGAGTAATACGTGCAGGCAAAATTCAATAAAGATAATAGGTTTTGATTTTTAAAATAAAATTTAAAAATTAAAGTGACAGTATACAACTGCCCATTCTCTTACCTTATCAAAACTTAATCCATTGCATTCATTGGAGGTAAAATAAATGAATAGGATGAGTCAATGACAAATAATTCGAAGCACTAATTATTAGAAATTAGGGCTGGGCATAAGGTCATTCGATCCGTCCAAACCGTCCTACCCAATCCAAACCGCGCATGTATGGGCGATTTCGCAAACACATTAAGGTAGGGTGCGATTTGGATTTTATCTAATTTTCGGGTTGCAGGCGGGTTGCGGGTTTGACCCGCACCCGCCCAACCTGTCCGCATAAATTTTTTTTTTTTTTAAATGTAACTGTTCAAAAAAACCCCTTTTATTTTTATTTATTTTTTTGCATTTTGGATGAATGTAAGTTAATGAAATTACCTTCTTCTTTTTTTTTTGTATTTGGGTTAGGAATGATAAATGTAGGATTTTTTTAATTTGGGTTAAGAAAGTTGAATGTAGGATGAATGCAAGTTAATGATGAATTTAGATTTTGAATAATTTGTTTAGGTTACGAATTGAGATGAATGCAAGTTAATGATGAATGTAGATTTTGAATAATTTGTTTAGGTTACGAATTGAGATGAATGCAAGTTAATGATGAAGGTAAATTTTGAATGAATTGTTTAGGTTACGAATTGATTTTGTTGTGTTTTTTATTTTATAAGTTTTTTATAAGTTTTAATTCATTAATTATTAATGTTAGAGTATTTTAGAAAATAGTAGGAAAAATGTCTAAAATAAATATTGATAAAAAATGGGAAAAAAAAAAGGGTTTAACAAAAAAAATTGAAAAAAAGTTCAATCCGCAAACCGCCCGCGCAACCGCGAATCCTATCCGCACAAACCGCAAACCGCATTGCGAGCGGTTGCGGGTTGACTTTTCCTCAAACCGTATACATGCAGACAGGTCCAAACCGAACCGTAAATCGTTCCAAACCGAACCGCGGACACCCCTATTAGAAACCTTTTTTTTCTAGTTGCAGGACTTCAGAAGTGTTATATTTGGTAAAATTAATAATTGTTTCAATTAATACAAGTAGTTAGAAAACTCACATTTATAATGACTTATGTAATATGAGGGAATGTGAAGATGATTTGATTACGTACATACCTTTATAGTACGGTTGTGCATACATGACGACGTGTTTGCTACCATACGATTGTTTACTAATAAAACAGTTAAAATGATTTTTTTTTTATTTTTTTTTTAGATTTGATTCATATAAGATATTACAATGCAACTTAATAAATTACAATCATATTAATAAAGATTAAATACTATATAAATTTTTTTACAAAAAAAACTCTCCCTTAGAAGAGAAAGTCACAATTGTGTACAATTAATACACAAGTAAAAAAAGTCACACGTAGGTGAGATTTAAAAAATAAAAATAAAAAGTAAACAAACAACTGAAACAATTTTATATTAAAAAAAAAAGGCTACAAAATTTTATCAATTTATAGTTGTGGGTAGTGATGTAATATGTTCAATACGGTCAGTACTTAAATTAAATATTTCACCGAACTGATAATGGCTGTTTTATTATTTTGAGTGTCGATACAGATTGCTTCTCTTATCAAATTACACCGAACCACACCAATTAAAATGATTCAATTTGATGCAATTTAATCGATTTAGTATCTTTTAAATTTAAGCCATTTTTTAGGATAAATTACAAATACACCCCCCTGATATTTGCTTAAAATACGAATTGCCCCCTGTGGTTTGAAAAATTACTAATACTTTCCTGTCAGAATTTTTTATTTAATAGAATTAATTAAAAAAGTAAAATTTCTAATTGTTCACCTATATAATAATAAAATTATCTAAATTATTAATTTAAATAAAATTTTAACATTACTAAAACTGTTAATTAACATGATGATTTATTAATAAAAGAACATATTTGTTATGAAATTAGAAACCTTAGGGGGTATAATATAATTTCTAAAATCACAGGGGGTAATTTGTAATTTAAATAAACCTTAAGGGGTGTGTTTGCAATTTATCTTATTTTTTAATATAGTTGCTCATTTATATAAAAATATTGAATTAGCATTTTGTCAACCATTTCGAACATATCCTATGTATCCATTTAATAAATATTTTACAATTTCTAGATTAACCCAAAAAAAAACTAATAATAAATATTAAGGCTCTGTTTGGTTGTGAACTGAAATCAATTTTCAACACGTGGGCTCGCGTATGACGTTTGGATACTATGTTCAAAAATTGATTCCGATATTGAATCGAAAATCGAAAAAAATTAAATTTAAAAATTACACAGACTAATTTTTGTTAAAAAACAGACTAAATGCAAATGGTTTGATTTTGTTCGATTGGTTTCATCGATTTTTTTGACATCCCTAGTTGTGGAATTTATACATTTACAAAGACAAATTACGTCCCTACATTTTACCTATTTTAATCCCTACATTGTTATTAGACTCAAATTTGGTTCTTCATTTTAAATTGGTTCTTCATTAACGACTGAATTAGATTAAATTTTACCTCTAAAATATGAGACATGTCGCTTATTTTTCATTAAAAAATATTAATAATTATAATAAATTAGATCAAATTAAGATAAAATCACATATTTTTCATTAAAAAATATTAACAATTGTAATAAATTAGATCAAATTAAGATAAAATCATAAATTAAAATGACAAGAAACAAATTATAGAAACTACCTATATAATTTGGCCTATTAATAAATAGTGTTAGAAACTACCTATATAATTTGGCCTATCAATAAATAGTGTAAGAAATGCTTACTGGGAGAAGGAGCACAGACTAATTTTTGTTAAAAAACAGACTAAATGCAAATGGTTTGATTTTGTTCGATTGGTTTGATCGATTTTTTTGACATCCCTAGTTGTGGAATTTATACATTTACGAAGACAAATTACGTCCCTACATTTTACCTATTTTAATCCCTACATTGTTATTAGACTCGAATTTGGTTCTTCATTTTAAATTGGTTCTTCATTAACGACTGAATTAGATTAAATTTTACCTCTAAAATATGAGACATGTCGCTTATTTTTCATTAAAAAATATTAATAATTATAATAAATTAGATCAAATTAAGATAAAATTACATATTTTTCATTAAAAAATATTAACAATTGTAATAAATTAGATCAAATTAAGATAAAATCATAAATTAAAATGACAAAAAACAAATTATAGAAACTACCTATATAATTTGGCCTATTAATAAATAGTGTTAGAAACTACCTATATAATTTGGCCTATCAATAAATAGTGTAAGAAATGCTTACTGGGAGAAGGAGTTTCAAATGGGCCAATCGGCCGAAGAATTGTGCTCTGCTCTCTCCTTTGCGTCTTTGCATATTCTCTCTCCATTGCGTTGTTCATAGCTTCTTCACCTCCGACTCTCTCTCTCTCCCTCTCTCATGTGTTCTATTCTGGTGGTGAGTGATGATGAATTGGTGCGAGAATGGAAGATATATATATATATAGAGAGAGAGAGAGAGAGAGAGAGAGATATGGTTTTAGAGAATGCAAGAAAGAGTAAAAAGCAGGTGGTGAATTCGATAAAAACGTGGCGGTCTCTGTGGAGTTGCATGAGATGTTTGTCGGTTAACTATTAAGGTTTTGTTTGGGGCGTGAGTTAATTTTTTAATTATTTTATTATTTTGATTTAAGGTTAAAAAGTTTTATTTGGGATAAATTTTGATTTTTTTAATTTTTGTGAAAGAAAAAATGAAATAATTATAATTTGAATGTAACATTTTGAGAAAATTATATTTCTACACACCTAATTACTCAAGGCACACACTTAATGAAATATTAATTTAATGATAATTATACCCTAAATAAAAATGACCATAATAGACATTCAGCAATACCTTAATATGGAAAAATTCTCTATACACACATCTTTTAAGAACGAAAAAATCTCAATACACACCTTTAATTTTAAAAAAAAAATTAAATCTTAATTTTTTCATCGTTATCACTTACTTGAACAAACAATCTATTTGAAAATCATGCTCCATTTGTCTTTTTCAAGGTCCAATAGTAGTCAATATGCACATAACTACTATAAGACAAACTTTTTCCAACATCACATTACTAGGAAATTCTCATACCAAACTACTACCATTCAAAGCCAACCAAACCAAACATGGTTCACTTGTCCCCATTCCATCTCTATTTCTTTTTCGGCAGCACATGGTGCACAAGCTGGACCTTTCTGTGCTTCAACCTACTTATATGCCTTGGCTATCTCATCTAGGAACTTGAGGAAAGTAGCTGAAGCAAGTATAATCCTTGGATGACAATTCTCCGATCATTTTGTTGTACTTCTCGACCAGCGAGCAATGCCGAAAATAGCCATATGTGCCATCACATGGAGCGGTGGAAACTGATTGGTTACCTACCAAAACCTCTCCAACACACTCAAGAACAAATTAACGTATACAGTCTTACCTTCAACACTATTTTGGAGGATTTACAATGGTCTTCAATGAAAGTCTTCAATGCAAGACTTCAATAGAGGAAATTTCACTTCAGACCAAAGTCTTTTTTAAGAGCGTGAGTGCGTCAATGTGAAAATAGGGTCAATAAAAAATATATTGAAAAAGAATTAGTGGTGTGTGTACAATAGTTATAAGTGAAAGGTGTAATTATAACTTTAAGTGTATGAATCGAAAAAATTAATTGATAATCAAATTAATAAATACGTGTATTAAGAAAAGATATGCCTTGAGCTAATTAGGCATGTGAAAATAGAATTTTCCGAAATTTTATCATATTAAACTAAAAAATCTATTTTATCTTTCTATAACTATTTTAACCTCAACTCATCCCAATCCAACTTTCCAAACGAGTGCTAAGGGCCACCTATTTGGTGAAGTATGCCTTTGGTCGGCAACTTTAGGATTCATAAACTTGGTATATCCCAATAAAGAGTATTATCTATTAATCAAAACTATGTTTTGACGAAGGCATGTGATTCAGTTCCTCTTCAAAGGAATCACAAATATAAATAGAATCAAGTTTTTTCATGATGAAACTTCAATACACAAAATGTAGTGACAGAAAACAAAATTGGGGACCCAACAGAAAGACCTCTATCCTGCAAGTAAAAAACCTGACAAACTCACTCCCCAGCTATGCCGATTGGCCGCCTTCAGATGCCAATTTTATCCGCTGTTGATGCTCTGCAACCTTGTAGTCAACTATTTCCTTGAATAGCTCGGAATCCAATACACAGTCCGGGCGTCCATACACGGCTGCTTGAACACTGGCCATTAGTTTTGCTATCTCTCGACCTGAGAAGCCTTCTGTCTTCTTGGCAGCCTCTCGGATCACATCATCGGACAAATCTTCTATTGTTATCTTTTGTGTGCTCTTCTTAAACAAAGAACCCCATTTGGACTCACTGTTGTTATCTTCACCGGATAAATACTTGTTTAAATAGAGCTTCAACAGTTTGAAACGCTCCTCTGCCTCACGTGGAAGCGGGAACTCTATCACCTCATCAATGCGGTCAGTGATGGCACTGTCGAGATCACCTGGTCTGTTTGTGGCAAGCACAAGAACTACATCTCTTGACTGGTCTCCAGTTCGAAAAAGCAATGCATTTAGGGCACTTCGCTGAGCTTCACTCATGTGTGTGCTGTTACGCCTGCAATTCGATCAATTTCACATTGTTAAACTTGGTTTTGATCAATCATAATTCATATGGAGGGTACAGAATAATCCCACAAAATTACTACCATTGCACTGTCAGCAACTGTAAATTGATGATCATGTAAAACTAATTGTTATTCTTTCCCTGGCATTTAACTGGTTGCTTAGAGAACAACAACCCGTGGTACTTGATTAAAAATATAAAAATGTGAGGCTGATGGTCAACTTACTCGCAGAGAAAAGCATCGGCCTCGTCAATAAAAAGAAGTAAACCTTTCTTTGACTTTTTGGCCCAATCAAATATTTCATGAATTTTGGTAACAGCCTGTGGACCCAGTGGTGCAACATCACCTCCTGTCATCATGGCATAATCCAAACCCTGAAAAAACAATTTTAAAGAAAACATCAGCTTAGGGGTTGAATATCTCAAAGGAAAGAGGTATATGATGGATAGAAAGAGGTTGGAATAATGGGTTGCCACCATACCGATTTTTGAGCTATCTCCCTTGCAACCATGGTTTTACCAGTGCCAGGAGGGCCATAAAAGAGCATGTTACGAAAGGGTGCCTCATGAGACTTCGTGTTTGATGTAGCTCGAGCAAGTTGCTCTATCCTTCTCTGCAATGATGGATGGAGGACAACATTTCCAAATTTCTTTTTACTCTCTGCAGTCACGGTGCCTGCTGCTGTACTGTAATTAAGCATCTTCTTTGCTCCTCGAGAAACTATTCCTGACCATGGAAATTTTGCAATAGATGATTCTCGAATCAGGGATGGTTGCCCCAGAATCCGGTTGATATATCCCCAAGTAACTCTGGCGCCTTCTCTGTAAGCACGTAAAGGAATATCAGACCCAAATTAGTCGACATTACCTCTATACCTTAACAGCATGAACGTTAACATAACCAAGGTGTAGTCCAATCTGCAGACCAAAATGGATTCATTCCTCTGCCTGTCTGTTTCTAAGAATGAGCTGACAACGAAAGAATATCAGAGTCTACAAAATGCAAACCACATGCATGATTAACTTGAATTGGGAATGCAAGAGATACAAGAGCTCGATAATAGTGGAACTTTCTCTTCAACGGAATATTATCGCGTGAAGTGTGGAAGGCCTCATAGAAGGAGGAAAATCAAATTGTCAAAAAATGAAATTAATTCTCCGCACTTTTCCCTCTCCTTTTCCATGAATTACTACTCAAATGCAAGAATAGCAAACATGCCCACTCATATAGATAATCTGAAATTAATTCCCTTCACTCAGCTACCACTCTGCATCCCAAGTTCTTCTTCTTTTGACAAATGGAAAAACAAATATAGACCAAGTTCAAGGATTGCAATGGATCCATATTTCTGGGGAATCCCCAGCATACCATATTGGCACCTAGGGGGAGAGTTTACGAGGAATACCAAAGAAAGAACAACATTAAATTATTCCTTACTACAAGTGTCATCTACCCACACGCATACACACTATTTAGTTGGGGATTCCTCCATGTGATGGAGAGGACTAGATTCAAGCAAAAACAATGGCAATGGGTCTGATTTTGCATTTTCACCATTTGGATCTCAGCGTTGGTTAATGGCTCTCTAACAGTTTCTTTCACACTTCTAGAAGCCTTCGACAAGGGGATCCTCTTTCTCTATTGCTTTTCATTTTAGTTATGGAGGTTTTGTAAGTGAATTTAGGGAAATTGACTTTGACTGTAGTTGGTGAGGTATCTATGTGTGGCCTAAGCTTCTATGGTATGTAGCGTAGATTTGTTGCCCACCGCCTAGTTGGGCAGTTGGGCTTACCTTTGGCTCATCCTGTAAGGCAAATACATGTGGGCTTATCTTTGGTTCATCCTTCAATCAAGCCTTGTTAGGAAAATGTCACTAGAGCTATGGGTCAACAACCACCTCTCAATCATTCAACTCTTCTCTACAAAAGGCAATTGTCCATAACACTTGAGTTCCTTCTTTATAGAAATAATCACCCATCAAGGCTCCTCTATCCGCCACAAGAAGTGAGAGTAATGGGATGGCAGTGACTCCTCTATCTTCTCTTCCCCACACCAAAGATGATTCCTAAAACACACTCTTTGGTCAATTCCAACAAGCAACCTTGCATGACCGCCAAATATTCCACCCTAGTGAATACCTTTCCAAAGGCCTTTCCCGAATGGCATTTTTTGGACTTTGTGGAGACTTGAGTAAAGAGCTCTGTATGATAGCTTTAGATATCTTGTCTTGTTTTTCTTAGTGTATACGGTGGCACCTCCTTGGTGCCTTTCTAATAAAATCAATCTTGTAAAAAACAAAAAGTCGCAATTCTTGTCAGTTGTCACTGCGTTCCACACACAATGAGACAGAAACTAAGATCTGAGCCTAGATCTCACTTTATCTAACCATGTTTCCCAAATGGCATTTTTTGGACTTTGTGGAGACTTGAGTAAAGAGCTTTGTATGATAGCTTTAGATATCTTGTCTTGTTTTTCTTAGTGTATACGGTGGCACCTCCTTGGTGCCTTTCTAATAAAATCAATCTTGTAAAAAACAAAAAGTCACAATTCTTGTCAGTTGTCACTGCGTTCCACACACAATGAGACAGAAACTAAGATCTGCGCCTAGATCTCACTTTATCTAACCATGTTGTTATTTTGTATATGAAGATTGGCAAAATTAAGCAATCTCACTTGGTTTTGTTCACTTAGTTTTAGATAAATTTCGTTGATTCTTGGTAAGTACTGAAAATTTTTACCAAAATTGGGGAAGAGCTGCCTTTGTAGAATCTAAAAGGTTTGGTGTTGGGCAAGATACCCCTCCCTGGGTACAAGACAGGGCTTCAGATGGTTCTCCTTCGCAGCCTGGGGTCAGGATAGGGGGTACCCATGGCAGACTCAATGTTGGTTTCATGCCTAGATAGGTTGTCCATGTTAATAAACAATAGTGCAGCACATAAACCAATATTTAGCAATCGACCCAACAATTAATGGAAAAATTTGTGAATTTGTGATATATACCAAGTCAACCATAAAAATTACCAGAAGTCATTTAAATTTACCAGAAATCATTTTTTCGTTGGCATAAATAAATAGGATGTAATGGGGAGAACAACACGCAGACCTAGTAGTATAAACTCCTGCAGCCAATGCTGTAACTCCTCCAACAGTCATAATCAACTTGCTCCTGTCAGTCAATAGAACCCTGAAACCCCCTGCATATCGCAGTTAAGAAGCACATTGTGTGAGAAAGATATGCTCTTGGTTTCACACAAATGATAATGATGAGAAAAAAGAAATATTTTGTCCATATTATGATATGGAATTCATGAACATACCACATAATAATTACAATACTAGCATCAAATGTATAAATATGTATTGGATGGAGTATACAATTTTGAAAGCAAAGAAATAAGCAGCCTGAGGTGAATCTTTAATCACATGAATGTGCAAATTAAACAAACAACTACTAGTAATGCAGCACATAAAATAAGTAATGAAGAAATCCAAGCCTAAATTTTTAAAAAACCAACATGACCGAGCATTGGGAAATTCCTTTTCAGAAGCCAACAAGATGTTGTCTGAATCCAATACTAGTTTATCACGACTAAGCTAAGCTGAGGTTTAATCAGTTAGAAAGCAAGAAATAATTAGCTCTCTAGATCAACTTTAAATGCATAGAGAATACTAAAAGCACCACAAATACATCTCAGCCAAGTCCCAGCACAATTAGCTACTTCATACGAAGAACAACCTATTGTAAAACCAACTTGTCAGACTTGTAAAGAGAATATGAGCACATGGTTATTTGTTGCATACCTTCAATGTGACTAAAAGTTGTATTGATGGCAGCAAGCCACTTCTCTCTTTCGCCATTTATCCGTTCTATAAGCATTCTTCTGTTATGGTCCTCTGTTAGTTTTGCTTCGTGAGCCCGACCTTCAGCCTCGGCCATGGCCTTCACTCTTATGGTTTCACGTTCAATTTCAGCTCTCTCTTTCTCAGTCTGACGTTGCTGAGCTTGGATCTGTTCTTCAGTTGCCCTTCTCGCTTGTTCTTTTCTTGTCGAGGATTCCTCTTGCATCCTAACCAATTCAGCATTGTGTCGTCTCTGAGCTTCGTGGTCTGTCTGAAAACAATGACAATAATAAATTAAACCGTTTAACATCAATTTTCTTTTGATTTACTTAACATTTTAAGGAATAAAAATTCTAAAATGTCATAGTCGTTCAACTGGAACGGCATTTGAACAGTTGGGACAATGTACATCATATTCTTTAGCCGAAAACTCCACTGAGGTTTCACAGAGGAGGCAACTGTGGTCAATTTCTGAAAGTCTCAACCTTTTGGGGTGAAATTTTTTTAAAAACTACTCCCTTCACCTGCATTCTTTTTCTAGCTAATTCATCCTCATATCGCATCATTTGTGCCTTTGCCTGTGATTGTTGTTGTACTAAATTCCTTTGTTCCTCAGCCATTTTCCGCTGCTTGTCCTGCCAATGCAAACAGAGTTGTAATAAGAGGAGACAAATGAGAATAACAGCATGTGCCATCTCCTTATTCACAGGAATGAGAACATGAGTTTTAATAACTTTTGTTTGTTTCCTCTTTTCATCTTCGCTTTGGGCCATCATCATTAAACACCAACCTAATCTTTACTCAAATTGACATCAATATTTACAATGTTCATCTATTCTTACGTAGTTTTACAGCTTCCAAAAAGATGTGGCTAAGCTGTTGTGTTTTGTCATATTCAACAATAAGGTTGCGTTTAGTTAGGAAATTTGGGAAGGGATTTGGAAAAAGAAAAGAAAAATGTGTGTGAAACTAGGTTGGGCCATCATCATTAAACACCAACCTAATCTTTACTCAAATTGACATCAATATTTACAATGTTCATCTATTCTTACGTAGTTTTACAGCTTCCAAAAAGATGTGGCTAAGCTGTTGTGTTTTGTCATATTCAACAATAAGGTTGCGTTTGGTTAGGAAATTTGGGGAGGGATTTGGAAAAAGAAAAGAAAAAGGTGTGTGAAACTAGGTGAAATGTAGATATATTTATTCACATTTCACCTACATTTTCCCTTTTCCCTTTTCCCTTTCCCTTTCCAAATCTCCCAGCCCAACACAGCCTAAATGTCTTACTCTTGGAAATTAAAATATAAGTTTATTTTCACCTTATGTCAAACCTAAATTATAGGGAATATTGGTTACAAAAATTCAATTTTATGACATCTTTGAAATCATGAGTTGAATAAACCATCAAATAGGTTTATTAAAAAATATAAATAAATAAACCATCAATTAAAGGAAGAATGCATACATATACACACCTATAATGCACATCTCAAGTGGATTCAATTGCCCAATTATGCTAAATTTGTGGTTCAAAAAGAAGCCCATTACTACGTTGTTGGCAAAAGCAAGAATCTCGTTGCTTTTACCACAAACAAACAGGTTACGCGATATGACATTCCATACCTGATTTTCTTTTGCACCATTTTACATATGGAGTAAAAAACATCAAGAAGAAAGCTGTGTGAGTGTCCATACTAATGACAATAAATTTAAGCAATTAGTTTCAAGTAATACCTACATTGTCACAATACTTTTTCTAAAGGAACACGCCGGATATATTCACCAAACATTGTCATACTAGCAAATGTGCCCACATAAATCTCAAAATTAACTATAAATTTTGGTTCTTTTTACAAATATTGCGGTGGTTGAGTGTCCTAGCAACTCCCTCTTCTAAAAGTTAAATTGATAAACAGGCTCCATAGACAAAATATCCATAACGCAAAAGTGATATACAACAATCACTCACTATATCAGCTTGAGATTGAATGGCTTCGTAGTGAGCTTTTTCCGCTGCCAATTCAGCAAGCCTAGACTGTTCCTGCTTCCTCATAATCTCAAATACCTAACAAAAATTGCATAAATCATAACAAAAAATAACTAACCATTTCTTACATAAACTTTTCAAAGATGGAAACTGAAAAAAAATTCCCCCGAAAATATAACCACCTGTTTGGCATGGGGAGAGCTGTTAATTTCCCGGAGAGCTTTGGCGCCTCTCTCCAGCGATTCCGGATCAAAACCGCCTTTGGGCTCGTCGGACTTGGAATCCGGATTGGGAGAGTCGGTCTCCGCCGATGGAGGTGAAGAAGAAAAAGGAAAGAAGCGGAACGGAGAGTCGGCGTAGGCGGTGTTGGAGAGAGTGGGCAATGAAGCGGCTGCGGCGGCCACCGCCACTAAGGAAGACAGTCTTGAGGCGGCCATTGACGAGTTTTGAAGCTCGGTTTCTCGAGTTAGGGTTTGCTCAGAGGGAATCGAAGGTGAGGTCAGGGGAGTATTGGGAACGGAGGGGTAGACTTCGGTCGGAAAAAGAAGGGTTTAAACCCTACTCTCTCTCTCTCTCTCTAGGGTTTAAACGTTCGGTTCGGTTGAGTTAAAACGTCGGGGTATTTTTGTAAAATAAAAGCAATCGTTAGTTTGGGCCACTATGGCATTGATTTTTTTGGGTTTTTTTTTTTTACTTTTTAAATAAAAATTTTTTTTTTTTTTTTTTTTTTTTTGGGATTTTAGTTATTCTTGTTAAATGGAGATGGTTTCCCTAGATAAGATTCTGCACAAATTATCCTTGTTTGAACTAAAACCTATGATATGTCACGCTCGATGTAAACATATGGATGAATGAATAGCTTAGACAAATGAATCCAGACTAGTGATTGTAAGAGGGTCGTGGTAGGAATAGTGACGATTTTGGTGATTGTATTGTAGTGATTGTTGTAATAATGAAATGGCCGTAACAATAATGGTCATGTTTGATAGAATTGTGGGAAAGTAATTATAACTTATAACTTAACAGTTTATAATTTATAACTGTGAACATAAGTTGATTTTTGACTTATAAATTAAACTCCTCCACTCTCACTCAAAGAATAAATTGATTTTTAACTTACAAAAAGTTATAAGCTGTATTTTTAAGTTGAACCAAACACATCAAAATAACTTAAATTAAGTTAAAAGCTGAAATAAATTTGAAATAAATCCTACCAAACAGGGTCAATATAGTGATAATAGACTATTAATAGTCATTATGGTAGTGGATATGGAGGCGGTGATAGTAATAGAAATAAAGGGATGTAGTAATGATAGTAGGGATTATGGTGGTTGTATTATGGTGTTTGGGAAGTTTGTGAGTTGGGTTTTTTTTTATTTTTTACACTAAAAGACAAACTTTTTATAAAATAAAAAAAAATAAATCCAAACAAAATATCACATCCAACCCTATAATCATTTCACTTTTACTCTCACAAACATCACATCCAACCACAAAAAAATTCAACTATCTTTCCAAACACCAAAAAAAATTTATCCAATAATATTCTACAACTAAAAAAACCTACATAAAAATTCACTTCCCAAACACCCACATTGTAGTGATAGTAAAATGATGATAGTTCTTATCTATACTATATATTAAGCAAAAGGGGGCTTTTAACCCCAAGTCTTGTGGGAGCTCCAATCTCCCAACCTAAATTTCTAGACTTTTTGATTTAAAAAAAAATAGCATTTATTAACTTCTCCCAACTCCCAAGTCTTATCCTCATAATAACACTTTAATGTATTAAGAACAAGCATAAAAAAAATTCTTTAAAATTCAAAATATGAATTTCTTGAAAAGTCCCAACACATATGATTATTATCCCTCATAATAACACTTTAATGGATTAAGAACAAGCATAAAAAAAATTCTTAAAAAGTTCGACACATATGATTGTTATCAAAATATTAAACTTTAATATAATATAATAAAAAAAAAGACGTTTAATTCTTTGAAAAGTCCAACACATATGATTATTATCAAAATATTAAACTTTAATATAATATAAAAAAGAGAAAAAAGAAGACATTAAAAAAAACGTTTAAAAATCACAATTCACATATATAGATAATTGTAAACATAATCCGTGCATAGCACAGGTGATATGCTAGTCTATATATTAAGGAAAAGAAGATTTCTAATGAGAAGCCTCTTAAGAGTTTCAAATTATCATTCTAAAATTATTAATTTTTTAATTTACAAAATAGATTTAAAAAAGGGGAATTTATCATAAAGTCTCATATGGCGAAATTGTATTCCATTTGGTCCCACGAATATTTTGTTTGATTGGGCAGACCATGATAGTAGAGATATCTTACTGATAACTTCTTTTTTGAATTACATTGTTATGTGCAGGACAAATATGCCCTCATATCAATTATGGGCTGTTATGTTTTCATTTTTTATATGTAATCCCACGTTTGGTGGGGCGGGTGTAGGTGTGATAGTGTATTCCATTGATACCTATGTTTGATGCCAACAGTGCTCAAAAAGAAAAACAGAGGGATCACACACCTTGGATGTAGGGAACCTTTGATGGGCTTTTGACTATTTGATGATGTGAATAAAGAACCCTACCATTAACTATTTGATAATGTGAATAATGAACCCTACCTTTTTTAATTTAATAGTTTCTTATTTGATGATGTGAATTATAACAACAATTAGTTTGCAGGCATCTTGAACTGCACTTCCTCTTGGACAGCAGCGGCCGACCAGCCGACGACGGGTTCGCAATCTGAAACGCCGACGACATCGAATGTTGCAGGCTGTCGGTGTCTCCCGTCAGAGACGACATAAACGAATTCAGTGGCGACACCACCGCCGCGAAATTGATCGTCTTCGTTAACTCCTTCTGATCAATAGATCCGTTTTTCACTTGGTGACGGTAAGGAAGATGAGGCAATCTCTGAATCGACTTTGGACAGTAAACTCTAGGAACCGAACCTTGCTTTTCCTCTACCGACTTTGTTTCATGGGTCCTCTATTGCTATTGGTAAGGAGTCACAGGGCCTCTTCTGAAGCGATCATGACCGGTTCGAGTTCGATCGAGAAACGAAATGAACTATAACGTAAACCTATTCACTTCATCTATAACGTGGGTTTCAAAATTCGGGTTATGAGAAATCCGAAACAGAAATCCAAAACCATTTTAGTGTGTCTCACTTCACGTGTTCACGTCACGTACGAAACCACGTTTGGTGGGGCGGGTGTAGGTGTGATAGTGTATTCCATTGGTACCTATGTTTGACGCCAACAAGTGCTCAAAAAGAAAAACAGAGGGATCACACACCTTGGATGTGGGAAACCTTTGATGGGGCGGGTGTAGGTGTGATAATAATCCCATGTTTGGAGGACCGGGTGTAGTGTATTCCATTGGTACCTATGTTTGGTACCTATGCTTGATGGCAACAGTGCTCAAAAAGAAAAACAGAGGGATCACACACCTTGGATGTAGGGAACCTTTGATGGGGCGGGTGTATTTCGCGTGTTCACGTCACGTACGAAACCACGTTCTACTTCTGTGAGTGTTACAAACCTATTAAATTAAAAAAGGCATTAGTGTGCTTTTCCGATCAACGTGACACACAAACACCCATTCACCTTTCCCATATAAACCTACACCTTTCAACCAATAATACTAGCAGTGGCAAAACAGTCAACAAACAAATTAAGGGACCATCCAGTCACCAAGAAAACATTTAGGACCTTATGGATTACAAGTCCACAAAATGGGATTTACTGGTCAATTCCCCTTTAAAAAAACTATTGTCTGATTTATTTATTAAATTAATTATTTTAGAAATAATTCTTATCCTTTAATTTATGGATTTCAAATGAGAAAATAACAAAAATATTTCATAATCTCTCTCACCAATTTTCAAAAAAAAAATATTAAAACTTGTCTTCCTTCTCTCTCTTTCAAAAATTCTTTCTTTGCATCTCTGTAACAACCATAACCCATGATTAACGTTAATTCATGCTTAATATGCCTAATAAGTTCTTAAGTTCAAATTTTGAATTAATTACATGTGTGCTGCATTATTTGTGATTATATCTGTTTAACGTAGAAAGATCTGTTCGTGTTTTCGTTTTGGTTTGTGAATTGAAGGCCTCATCGGCATTCAAATCAGAAATTCACTTGATTTATATGTTAATTAGAATTTTTAGAATTTTATGGTAGGTTCAATTGAAATTTGATTCGGAACGAATAAATTAGATTAATTTAATGCCCACTTATTTAGTCTTAATTAATTATCTTCAAGTGAGCTTATATAAGGCTTCTTATATGCCTTTATTCTTTCTTCATTCTTCATTCTTCATTCAACATATTTGAGCTCCATCATACAAACAAAACGTGAGAGAGTGAGAGAAAGAAGGCAATTGAGATCAAATGTTGGGATATGAGAGAATTGCCAAAAAGTATTGGAGATTTGCAAAGAATTTGGGAATTGAAGCTCCGTCACTTGTGTAATTCAAACTTTAGGTAAGAGAATTAGCCTTTGATCTTGTAATGTAGCTGATTAATGTATGAAAACAAGTGAATTAAGTGAATTCAAGTAGGAATTGAGCCAAAATTTGAGAAAACTTAGTCATACCATGCATACATGCATATTTTCTCACATTTTGAGTTTAATTTCCAAGGATTCCCTTATGCATGTCTTGAATTCACCTTTATTTTTGGAAATGATCAAGTTTTATATTGTTTTGTAGCATTTGATCATGTTTTGAGAAGCTTAAGTTCAAAGAAATTCATGCATGTCATGTTCATGGATCATACATAAATTTTAAGTTGAATTTTTGCACAATTGGCAAGGTATTTGGCCATGATTTATTGAAAAGATCCTTAATTCATGATATATTATGAGTTTCTAAGTGTTCCTCAAGTTTTGACCCAGAAAAATCAAGTTTTGATGCTTAAAAATTGAGTTTTGAGCTTTGGAAACAAATCTGAAAATTCCAGAATTCTGCTTCCACGCTCGAGCGTAGGAGTCTACGCTCGAGCGACCACTCTAAGTACGTGCACTTCCGCTCAAGCAACCATAAGCCTGCTCGAGCGTGAAATGCAAGCTCTCAGAAGTTTATGTATTTTTACAGATCGCTCGAACGACAAGAGTCACGCTCGAGCGAGGATTGAACGTCCGTCGAGCGTGAAATTCAAGCAGCCAGTACTTTTTTAAACTTTACAGACCGCTCGAGCGAAGGAAGTTATGCTCGAGCGAACCTTCACATTTTGCATGTCCACTCAAACAAGGAAAGCCACGCTCGAACGTGGACCCTGTTTTCAGCGAGTTTTGAAAAAATATTTTTAAGTATATTTTTGCATCCTTATTCCATCATAGGCATTCCTAGGCTAAGATTAAGACACTAGAATGAAGATAAAGGCTAGAAA